CTCGCGTAGGCGGATGACCGGTATTGTCTCGCTGTCTCGCATTGACCGCGCCCTGGCAAGGCCATGGCTGGAACGACGCGAACTTGCGACCCCCCGGTTTGTCCCGTGGCCGGCCAATCGAACAGCGCAAGCGGTGTCGGCCTCGCGAAAACATCATCGATAAGCGGGGCGATGGCCTGGAGAAGCCAAACCTCTGAACCCTTCGATCGAGCGAATTGTGGGGTATGCCTTGGGATTGTGAAACAACAAAGTACATAAAGCAAAGCCACGAAACCTCGACAAGGAGGCGTTCACGATTATTGGCCCAGAAGGCTTAGGTGCGCGGCTCCTTCGTGGCACCGCCAATGGGCATCCCTCCCGGGCACGCCGCGTCCCCCGGGTGGGCTGGAGATTGGCACCACAAGGCTGAGTGCCTACCATCCCCGCACGCTATCCCAGCTTGCAGGGTTCTGTCAACCGCCGTCGTTCCCCAGGTGTATGCGCCTCGTCCGCTGACGCTCATGGGTACCGCCGCACCCCAAGCGAGCCTCCATCACCCGCTTCCTCTTGTCCCGCAACGCAACGCGCCTTTGGCCCAGCGATGGCAGCTCGAAGAAACACGGATCACCGCTGGCAGAGGGCGCCACTACGAAGTAGAAGCAGGGTCACAAAGTCAATTCACGCCCCGAATACTCTTCACCTGTGTTGCAGAGTGTGAATGCTGGTGCCTAGAACACACCAAGCCAGAGCCTGGATTGGCGGGACGTCACCCGTAGTGGCTTGACACCCCGCTCTACCGGGGTGCATGGGGAACTGTTGCCAAAGCTACCAGGGATGACTTGGTGCTGCGGACGTGGCGAAAAGAGTGTGGCGTCGTTGGGACGTTAAGTGGCTGCGTCGCGGAAATTGTCGGGTCTCAGGACGCGTCATTGGAATAACATCCGGCAAATGGCCGTTTTCGCGTCGTGGCCCACGGCAGGGTTGTCCCTTGCTCGCAAAACGCAGCGAGTGTAGCAACACTTACTGTCCAGATGCCTCCTTACTCTCTGCCCCATTTCTTTGTTCCGAGTTCCGAGTACGAGTCGCGAGAAATAGAAGGAAGTCCGTTTTGAAGTTGGCTTGGCCTCTGCTAGTACGGGATTCGTCAACTTGTGGGTTGTGTGGGTTTGGCCCATGCCAGGTAGGTGCTCGGCTCGATGTTGTAAGTGGGCCACTCGCCGAACACAGCCTCAAAACTGACGGACCCTGCTTTCAGCTCCCGAAGACAAGGCTTTGAACACTTGGGGAAATCGACCTCCGGGCGGGAGATATGAAGTAATGCACCAGAATGTCACACGTAGCACAGAGGCCCTTTAGGGTCAACCATCCGGGCGAAATCTCCTTCCCTCCCTGCTTCCCTTGAAGAAGCCCGCCGTAGGCCGTCCAGGACGTCGTATTCTGACCAATGAGATGGTACCGTTGACGAGTGCCTCGAGTCATGACGTCGTGCGATAAGGCTCGCGACGTGGAGGTGAACACAATACTTGGATGTTCTGCTACCCAGTCCCCGTCGCATGCGTTTGTTGTAGTGTGGGCTAGCCATGCTTGTGGCACGTTCTCGACCGCCAGGTACCACGCCGCCCGAGTGGTCCGGAGACCACTTTGGCTCTGTCCGGTTCCAAGGTCGCGGGAGTCGAAAAGGGTCGACGTCGGATATACGTAGCCACTTTGCCGTCTGTTTCATACACATAAGTTCTACGCAAAGGAGCTAGTGGTAAAGTGTAGCTGAATATCGTATTATCATCTGGCGTTGCACTTCAAGTTTCAATGGCCACCGTATGTGGTACGCTCATTTTCCTTCGATGCAGCTACAAGCTACTCTATTGGTGCAAGATACACGAGTTTTGCCACCGGAGGGGCGTGTCGATGACTCTTATATGGCCTTTGCCCTGCTTCCACTTATCGGACGCACTGCCTGCAGCTCGCTCTTCTTTGTTCTTACAGTACAGCTATCACGATGCCCAACGCTGGACGGGATCATGCTCGTATCCAAGGTGCGCGACAGAGACTTCGTAGGCAACCGGGTGCCCAAGGAGATGAGTGCGCATGCAAGGCTCGAGAAGTTGAGCGAGAACACACTGCAAGAAGCCGTGGGATGGTTCGGTGAGCAAGAGTGAGGGTGAAGGAGGCCAAGGCCAAAATTGCAGGTGCGCGAGCAGGTATAGCGAATTAGACCAGCAGGTACGGCGAACTACAGCGGTATCTCGCTGACGAAGAGAAAGCGCTGGAAAGCACAGGCACAAGGACGGGCACACAGATAGGTCACAAAGGGGCCAAGAACGAGACCAGAGCGAGACAGGGGGAGGCAAGAAGATGGCAGGTTTAGGCCAGTCAGAAGGCAGGAAACGGTAGGAAGCAAGGCTAGTGGGAAGGGACTACAAGAAAGAGCCAATAGCAGGGGAAGAAGTTGGGATGGGGAGCGCGAAGCGGGGCAGAATCCTTTCGTCTCCGTTCCTCAAAGGCATAAGCCTCCCAAAGCCTGTCGTGGCGAGGAGATTGCCTGCGCCTACGTTGCCCAGCCTTCGTCCCACAAGCCTCCCAATGCCACTAGCCCCAATGAAGTTCACATGAATGTCAATGAATGTTCGTGGTTGGCCGGAAAACAAAGGTTTAGACGGCCTGTGCGTCCTGACCCACCCACAACCCTGCACTACGGGCACTAAGGGAATGGCTGAAGTGCGGGGAGGACGCCAAGCTTGCTGTACAGCTTTATCAGGATCGCTCTCCCGCAAAAACGTTATGCTATATGATTATGGTCCATCGGTTTCGCGAGACTTCGCCTGTTACCTCCCACAATATCGGACAAACGCCGGGCAGAGATGCAGGACCGGAGCCAGTTGGTCATCTTGATTCTCACTGGCGTCTTCGGTTTCGCGGCTACTTTCATTATGGCATTGCGCCTAGCGATGCGCAAGCTTCGGAGATATCCGTTTGACCTGGCCGATTTCATGACTATCCTTGCTATTATCTGTGTCGCCTGCAGAAGTGGATTTGTTGCCGTCGTGGTCATGTGGGGCAACAACAATGAGGAGGAACTTGGCCGCTTGAATGCAATCGAGGCGCACCAACATGGAGTCGGGAGCAAACTCACGCTCGCTAACCGGCTGGTGTACAACACGTAGTAAGACGCGTTCTGATCTCCCAAACCGTGCCTGTTCCTCACACTGACGAACCATACACAGTCTTTGGATTCAAAAATCGGTGGTCCTGCTTCTGTACGAACGACTGTTCTCCGTGCTACCTGTGGCCGCACGCATCATTACGCTTTATTGGGTTGCTTTCTTCGTTACCTTTGTCGGTGTGCAAATTGCTTGTTTCATGGATTGCCGCCCCGTAACCTTGTATTGGCAAGTTGTTCCGGACCCTGGTAAGCCGTAGTCCTTGTTTGAGAGTGTTCTTGCTTCATACACTGTCGATCGCCTCTCGTATCGTGGCACAATTTCTAACTCTAGACGTCACAAGGCCCGTGCACCAAGGCTAGGATCCAGCTGTTCACTTTCGTCTCACTGAACATAGCGACCGATTTGATGCTTCTGATTTTTCCAATTCCTTGGATTCTAGCCCTTAGGCACACCACATTGGCGCGGTATGTAACAACCTCCGTGGCAGTACCTATTGGCCCATAGTGGCGGAGACTCAAACATGTAGTAGGCGGCTACAATTAATCGGACTCTTCTCCGTCGGGATCCTCCTCTTCATCATTGCCATCGTGCGACTGCCGGTATATACACATGGTACCTCACAGGTCCGCCGACATACATGGGGCTCTGTTGAACAATTTGGCGCAGCATTGGTAGCAAACCTTCCTACTATCTACGGGCTTCGCCGAGGGAAATCGTCGGAGAGTAATCACTCAGTCCCAGCCGACGAATATTTCGATTACACGCAGCAAGGAAGAACGCTGTGGCCAGATACACCGTCGGAGTTCGAAATGGTTGACAGGTCGTGTGACGGTACAAGGCACGAATGAGGTCGAGTGCGGCTTGGACAAAGTGATTGTCTACAAGGAGAGAAAAAGGAGAGAGTGAGAGTTTCGTAAGGAAAGCTCTCACTTAAAGCAAGTCCCTACCCGTAGAAATGGGACACCCCCTGTCAACATCAAGCCGCTCATTCACGTAGACCGTTAACAGCACCGCTGCCTACCAATGGTGGGAATAACCTCACGCGACGCATCTGCTGCCTGCGATGTCTCAGATGCCTACGGCCAATCCAAGGCTACAACACCTACGGGTACAGGTAAAATATGCTGACACCCTCACCGGAGGTGGGGAGGGTGTAATACAGTCCGAAGGATGTATCCCTATGGCATGAAGGATTGGCCTTGAATCTCTGGTGACATGACATTTCATGCTATGGCATTATATGTTCAAAGTGTGGCATTGCGCTGGTTCTCCGTGAAGATATGCATGCATTAATTCTAGTACCGCCATCAAGAGAAAACAGGTAGGAATAATGGCTGGCCAAGTTGCTGTTGCATGCGCCGGTCCTGGTCGCGGACTTTCATCAAAACACCTGTTGCTGTGTTAGGACTTATGGATCCTCAAGCGTGACTAACATAATGGAACTCTGCTTGCCATCAGGTAGCTTCTCATAGTGGAGAGATGCCCGTTCAAATGGGGCATCAATCATTAACCCATGCAACGTCTTGACCCTGGAGACTGCAACATAGCTGAGCCCCGTTTGGAAGTCTCGTTCAGACAGATCCGTCACCATCTTATCCACCGTGATGCTCTGTGACTTGTGAACAGTAATGGCATATGATGCCACAAGTGGGAACTGCGTTCGTGTACAGGCGGACGTGCCAAGAAAAAAGTCTCGCTTCACCGGCAGTATGGGTACTACCTCACGCCCATCATCCGTGGTTAGATATGGTGGCCCGGTATAGTTATCCATCACCATCATAATGACACATGGCGGGTCACGGCGCGCATCAGCGCCAGGGGCCCAGCCGATGTCGTATACTGTTCCTTGGGCCCCATTGACTAGGCCTGTGGGATGCCAGATGTTCTGCGTCAGCATGAGACGAGCACCAATGCATACCGGAAACTGGCCAGTCAGGTTGCCAGCTTGTTCCGACGTTGCCCTGTCAGCACCGTTACCAATGTTCTTCGCCATGACTTGGATTGCTGGACGCTTGAGGCGGACGAGATGCTCGTAGTTGTACTCGTTCACACGTGCTTTCTTGCTATAGATACGAAGAGCAGCATCAAACGAGTCTACCTCGCGCCGGCCTAGCTTGGCCTGCACGCGCTGGCTCAGAAGTTTCCATGACTCGATGGATAGCTTTAGACCACGTAGTTCGTCAAGCGCAAGCCGAAAGGTAGCCTGGTCATCGCCCTGTTGCCGCTGGGCTTTTTTCAAGAAGACGGTGTGGATAAACGCCCCATATGCGGTTCGGCCAGAGACCTCGTGTAGGTCTTTGAGTGGTCCATCAAAGTAGAGGGGCTTGTTCGCAATCGGCGGGAGCTGAAAGAAGTCACCGACCAGGATGATGCTCATGCCGCCAAAGAATTCGGCGGCTTTGGCAGGAAAGACTTGGCGGAGGCGTTTGTCTATCCACGAAAGTTGACGCAGACCCAACATGCTTTTCTCGTCAATCACAAGATACCTAACGTCCCGTAGCTTCTTCTGAAGAGCATTAGCATCTGCTGGAGAGAGTTCTGTAAAAGCCCTATCGACAGGCAGCCGGAGTAGAGAGTGTAATGTTGTTCCCATTATCTGGTTGCTTGCAACGCCCGTGGGTGCAGTTCTCCAGATTGGACTGGGCCGGTTACCGGCAAGCTTCTGAAGATGCGAGGACAGGACTTTGATCAGATAGGACTTGCCCGTCCCGCCACCACCATCAACATGGAGTAGAATCTGCTCCTCGCTGTCGCATTGGAAGTGTCCAATGAATGTATCGTATACTATCCGCTGCTCTGCGTTGAGCGTATCGCGGACCTCGAATGGCAGGTCTTCAACATCCATTTGGAGAGGATTCTGCGCTATGCGCTGACGCCAATAATCGCCATGAACGATTCCTGGGTCAGCGTAGCGGCCGACGTGGGGTGTCCAATCATATTGAATATCGATATCCCGTCTACCCAGCAGATCTACCATCTCTTGGCTCGGTGGGCAGTCGGGAAGCTGGCGGGCAAGCTCAAGCCAGTCCTTCTCGAGAAGGTCAGGCTCGTGAAATTCGTCTTCGAACTCATCCGGATCCGGTCGACGATCCTCGGCATTAGGCGTGCCATAGTAATCATCAGGGTGCTGGTGGTTCGCGTAACAGAATTCGGCGGCAGATGCATGTGACTCATACTCGACATCGTCCATCTTGCGTAGGGCGTTGGGATCGCGATGCGGGTGAGCCAGCATGAGCTTCACGCGACAAAAATCCTCGTATTGGTGATGCTGACGGTTGGCCTTGTACCGCGGGAAGTAGTACAATACACGAGGCTTAGCTTGACGACTCCAACGGGTCCACTTTCTCCCATCCCTCTTGCTAGTATTCCAGTTGGCTAGGAAGTCAAGGTAAGTGAGTTCTTCATGAACGGCAGGGCGAGAGAGATACTTCTCGTATATCCCGACGACCTCAGCGTCGCCATCATGATCACCCTGCAGGCGAAGAGGCCGCCCCTGTTGCTCGTAGGGACGGCAATCAACGGCTCTAACAACACGTGTGCCTTCCTGTAGCTCGCAGTTGAGCAAGACATGGCACACCTCTTGTCCAGAGAAGTCTCTCTCAGCAAGCAGCTTGTTCATGAGACGTGAGGCAAAAGAAAGAAGTGGGTTCTGGTGGGAGACGTAGGGCAAGATTTGCAGCCCCAGGCTCGCATAACTCTCGGTCCGCTTCTCCATCTTACTGCAATACTTTGCTGCATAATTGATCACAGCTTGAAGGCTGGTACAGGGGGAGATGTCAATGTTGGCTAACCAACCGAGACTGAGACACCGGTTATAGTGGTTCATGAGGCTGTCATTCCTGGCTGCCTCGAAGGAGAAATAGGATTGCCCTTGCCGTCGAACAACCTCAGCCGTATCTCTCGCATCCCGCGGGAAGAAAAAGCGGCAAGAAATCTCTTCCGAACCCTTCTTCTTTCGCAGGCAGTAGGTCTCGCTGCAATGATGGCGTTGGCAGCGGTTCAGAACCTGCGAGAGCCATTGGAACGTCAAGGGATGATGTAACGGATTCACAGCCAAAGGATTGCCTTCTCCTTGATCCCGCACTCGAGCTGGCTCAGGGTTAAAAGCTGTGACGTGGAATTCCCAGACCCGGGCGAACTCCTTGCGTACATGCTCATTTTCCAAGTCAACACTGGGCGCGCCGTCCATCCAGAACAGGCCGTGGCAATGGCTACTTCCACGACCCTGCCATTCATACCTGTTCCAAAAATCAGTGACATTAAATTTGTTCTTGAGAACGATATCTCTGAATAAGCCAAACCGCCTGTGGAAGTGCCAGGCTGCAATGTGTGGGTTGTCCCTGAGAAGTTTGTTAGACATGCTCATTCGTTGTTGCTCGGGTAGCTCCTGCCAGTCTTGAAACTGGGGCAAATGTTGATAGAGGCTCCTCCAGTGCAAGTCTGCCGGGCTGAATGTAATAAAAGCACCCGGACAGCGAAGGTTGTAGGCATAAGACTCGAGCTCTCGGCGCTTTCGGTACCAATACGGGCGTGTCCCGCGAAGCTGTGCTGTCTGGCGGTTGATCGAGTTGAGCAACTTCTGGGCCTCCGCAGATTCAGGGTTCTGGAAAGCCTCGATTAGATCATCTCGCGTTAGTGAACCCTGCCTTTGTTGATGTTGTTTGACTAAATAGCCGCTTTTCGCCCATGCCTGTCCTCGCATCAGCGTGTTGAAAGCCACAAACCGGAATGTGGGATGACGGGCAAATCTGCCGTCATGCCATCGAAGGGCATGCTGTATGTACTCGGCATACTTGATAGGTCGCAGCCTTGGCTCAATGAAATCAGCCTGACCACGAGGGAATAGTGTTGGAAAGGCCAGGGACAGGAGTGCTTGTGAGTGGTTGAATTCATTTATCGGTGTTCTCCGAATCTCTGGCATTTCAAGCTGATGTTGTGTTGCTGGTCGTGCAGGGGGCAGTGCGTCGCGCTCTTCGCCAAGAACGTGTGAGTGCAGTGCCTCCATCTCTGTATCCTCTGGTAGTAGATCTGGCACTGCAGACTGATCAACCTCATCCGCCTCGATGTCGTCATTCTCGATGTCGCCCAAGTTAGCTGCCAGAGGATCGGTGACTTCCACAGTGGCAACCTGATCAAGTACATCGCCATCGTTGGGCAGCACTGACATCCGCTTCTGGCAAACAGTAATATCTCGGTAGCCCGGGTGGTTATTCGACAGGAAGTCCAGCCACTGCTGAAGACAACGACGTCGTACGCGGAACTGGCGTCTGAATTGGCGGTCCAGGTGGGCATGTTCACCCGCGTTCGGAGGACGTAGCAAGATAACATCTAATTCGGGGGGTAACAGGGGAAGTTGTCGATACACTTTGCCAACATCGCGGAGAAAGTGCACAATATGGCCACGATATTTGTATTGTTGCCCTCGAACCTGCATGACGTTGACGAACACATGAACTGGAGCAATTAGCATCTCTTCTACTTTCGTTAATTGAGGGAGGAACGTAGGGATTGAGCCAAAATCCAACTGGTTTTCGGCTGAAAAAAAAACACGGCTCATCCTCCTTTTTGTTCTTGTCTTTGGCGATGCAACGCTTGCAAATGTCATCTTTCAAGCCCATGTCAAACCATGTCTCCTGACAGCGGGTGCAATGTTCCATTCGATCGTTTTCCAGCTCCGTCCAGAACTTCTTCAGTAGCTCCTCATCTCCATCAGACACCGGGCAACGTGATAAATCACCCATCCAGTCTGGATCCGGAAGCTCGAAATCTCGACGGTCGGGGACCGGGCGTTCGATGGTCGACTGCTGGACAGGTGGGCGGGAATATCTTCCCCGGGCGTGTCTCGGCCAAATAGAAGGACTCGATACCGGAGATTCGATAGGCGTTCCCAGTCTTACGCCTTCTTGGGATGCAATCGAGGGACCTGGTCGGGAAGTAATCGGCGCATGCGCAGCTGTTCTTGTGGACATGGCAAGTGGCGTTCCCAGCAGAATAGGCTCTTGTGAGATAATTGGTGTACCTAGCTGTAAGTCTAATAAGGGCAATCCTTGTCGACGTATTGGGGACAACTCAGCTTGTTCTGCAGTACGCTTGGAGGTGCCTGAGGCCTGTCGATTCCTACAGTCAAGACAGTTGGCCGTATGTCTTCCACGTGTAATAGAGGACTTTGTCTTCGAAATGAATTGATCTGCCGGCTTCTCCTGCTTGCACTTCCTGCAGACATTCGTTGAAGGGACGGAGTCAGCCATGCTATGTTGGACTGCAGGAACGGTTTGATCAGGAAGGCTGAAGGGGACGGCGCGTTGGTGCAACGGGTCGTTGGGAGGCAACCACATGGACCGCGCACCTGGCTTTACACCTGAAAGGGCTACTGACCAACGAATTGATTACATTGCAGAGAAGAAAAGCGGGATGCTCTCGAGGAGCTGGCTGCCTAGTGACATATAGTCGATGCTCAGGGGCAGGCTGTGAGACCCTCATTTGGTGGCGTTATCAGCATCGACATCAGCCGAGTGCACATTGACGGCTCAGCCGGTCACAATACCCAAGCAAGACTGCCATCCAATCGACGTCGAGTGGAGACTTATGTGACCAATACGAGCAGAGCTTTTGAACCTCAGTTATCGTCGTAACAGGGGAGGCAACCCACTCTGGGGTTGCGCAAAGGGCCTTGAGGAACGAAAGCGTGAGTTTGGAGGGGACATATTGATTATCGATGGTATCGAAGGTTTTAGAGGATCGAGAGTGCGATTAATTGGAGACTATTTGAAGGGTTCAGGGTGGTCGCGGGACTGATGCGGGCTGTTCAGTTTATGAACCGTGTGTGGCCTCCGCTGTACCCCGGCGATTGTTATGGCTGCGTTGCCACTATTGTCACGACTGTGATTGCCGTATGCCAGAGCAGCCAATACGCGGGCTGCACCTGGGACCATCCCGGCAGGGCTAGGCAAGGCCCGTGCCCTAAAGGGCAACGTTAGGTGCCGTCACAACCGCCACACCATAAGTAGGTGTGCATCCTCATCCTACTTCCACCGCTGCCTGGATGTCGCCTCTCCCGAGCCTGCTAGCTAGCCGTATCTCGGCGGCTTCCGATCGACGGTAGATCCCTCCGATTATAAATGACGCCTCCTGGCAAGTGCGGCAATGCCGCTTGTGCAACGTTGTCGGCTTCGCCCTCAGACTTGAACTCTCTTCGGTTATGCTCGAGATGCCGCCGGACGGCATATTGCTCCCCTGAATGTCAGTCCGCGGCTTGGCCGTCGCACAAGGGAGGATGTGTCCGGCCTAATTATATCATCGAGTTCCACCTAGCCCCGGCGCAAATTGCGAACCCGCCGGTGACGCGGATCTTGTCATACCCCGCGCAAGCCGTCTTCTACATGCTTCATCTGGCGCTGCAAACAGCGTTTGGTTGGGCGACCACGCACTCGTTCGACTTCGCAGTCGTGGACCCAGACTATCGCGAGCCCGAAGACATCATGGAGATCATCAGCAGGCGCACTGCCATGGGTCCGACCGGCGATCAACTACCTCCAGCTTCCGCCCCGAGGGCATATCTCTTCCGTGTCGTGGACCCGGTTAAGCAGACGCTGTTCTCCGGCATCGATCGCATGCACGAGCCGATGAGACGGCACCCCAATACTCCAGAGAAGAGAGCCGACAATTATAAGCTGAACGAGCTATTCGACGATGAACGGTTCCGAAGTCTGTACAATGGCAAAGTGACCTCCCGCTGCACTCCTGTTCTGACCTGTAGCTAGGTCGCCAGATTGTCTATACGTACGATTTCGGTGACAATTGGGAGCATCATCTAAGGATCTTGGGACGTGCCGATCCCACCACCGACTTTATCTGCCTCGACGGGTCCGGGCACTATGTGGCGGAAGATTCAGGCGGTGCTGGGGGATGGGAGGATGTCAAGGCGGCCTACCGAAACCAGAGCCCGACTAAGGAGCAGATGCAGCGTCGGCACTGGTTCGAAAGGCAAGCCAGCAATCTCGACCCGAGGGGGCTTGCGGGGGATCGTGCACATGCATGGGACCGAGCCAAGATCAACCGGGAACTCGAGACCGACACGATGTTTGAACGCTTCCAGAAGATGGGAGACACTTCTGATGCCTACCGAGATCGCGCTTCTGCAGAGCTTCGATCTGGATGATACTATTCTTGTCCGCACGCCGCAGACTAGGCAGGGCTAATGGGTGCATTCACATCATCCATCTCAAGTCTAGCTAGAGATCCATGTGACCTCATTACAGAGGCGGGGCCTACGCACCCTACTGTTGGCCCTAGAATCGTCCGGAAGTAGTGGGACCTTTCTGACAGGATCTGTCCCGCTGCCCAGTGCGGCCATCTCAGGCGACGTCGACAACTCGTTCAAGTTGGGGCAACGGCACTACCATGACCAGGCGCACACACTGTAGAAGAGGTTCACGGGTCGTCATGCTGGACGGGCAAATGCTCGCCGCGGGAGACGCGGAGTTGCAGACGCTGCTGAAGCGGATTCGGCAGGGCGTGCAGGACCAGACGGACTTGGATCTCCTCAACTCAAGGTGCTACCGGGAAGGCAGGCGGATCCCGTGGGAATCGGGCATCACCGTAGTGACGCCGCTGAACAGGAACCGCTGGAACCTCAACATGGAGGCAACCTTGGCATTCCAGATGCAGCAGCGGTCGACAATGCGCATCTTCATATCCGAGCACAAGTGGAAACAGGGCCAGCCGACGGAGGAAGAAGCGGTGATGATGCTGAACCAGGGCGACGACAGCGCGATCCCCGTGCCGGCCATCTTCATGTTCGTGCCGGGCATGCCGGTCGTCGTGAACCGCAACACGACTTGTTAACGGAGCCGCGTACAGGGCGGTGGAGGTCATCGTAGACAAGTCGCATCCGGGGTATCAAATCTCGGCCGGTATTACGATCCACTTCGGGCCGCCGGCGGGAGTAATACTGGAGTCGGGAACAACCGAAGAGTTCCACTTTGTTGGAATGCCACCAGGCACGATCCTGATGACGCCAATGAGCGTTAGTATCCCGTGCCAACGGAAACGGCCGTGGCAGCAGAACGACGTCAGCCGAAAAGGGTTGCCGTGCGCGGCGGCCTTTGCGTGTACGGACTACAAGGTGCAGGGCGGGACCTTCGATCGCGTGGCGCTGGAGTTGCGTGGCACGAGGACGACGAGCACGGACGGACGCGCCATCCCGTCGCAGTGCGACCCGTACAGCTTGTACGTGCAACTCTCACGCTGCCGGACGCTGGACGGCATCATGCTCGTGTCGAAGGTGCGGGAGAGAGACCTTGTTGGGAACCGGGTACCCAAAGAGATGACTGCCGCACAGGGCAGACTCGAGAGACTGAGCGAGAAGACAGTCGGGGAGGCCTTGCGCTGGGTTGAGTGACGTTTGGCGGAAAAGCTAGGGCGGCTGTGGCTGTGGAGGCGTTTGGACAACAAGGGGCGATGGGAAGGCGGTGGATGGCGACGAGTCGCGCCGCGGGCGGGGGAGCTGGGACCGGGGGCACGGCGACACGAACCGGCTCGGCGACCAATCATGACAGACCTTTTAAAGGCACAGGGTGGGCTGGAGGCGGGGCATAAATCCTTTCGTTCCTCAAGGCATAAAGTCCTTCGGACTTATTGATCATAGAACCTTCTAGAGACAACCAGTCTCTTCCAACAGTATCTAATGCTCGGGGTGGCCGTGGTCCAGTGGCGTGAACCCAGGGATTAGACGTTACTCTGTCGAATCAACGGCTCTACTGGAAACACCCTATTGATGAACCAACCAAATGGAGTGTACGACCAGAGTTTGTTGATTGCCACCGCTGTGCCCTGCACAATTGGCGTCTTGTTCGCCGCTTCCTGCATGAGAAACTCGTTGAGTGCGCCAATAGGCGTGTACGACCATGCTTTGACGACCGGGTGGATGTCTCTGTTGGCGATTTCCAGCTTCTCCGTGGGCGTTTTACCCTTGCTGACCTCCTTGGCAATTGCTGGAAGCTCCTTGATTACATCCTCCCAGAATCCAATAGGCGTGCCGAAGCGCGCGGACTTGGAAATATCCACGATAATGTTCTTGAGTGAGTCGGCCGCTTTGTTGAAGCTCCCAAACTCGGCGTACCGCTTTTCTATCGTTTTTGACAGCGAGCGCTTGAATGCAAGCTCGCAATCCTGAACGGAGATGGAGCCCCCCTTTATGGCATCGGCGAGCGGCCGAAACGCCTCGGGGCTGGCCTCGGAAATGAATCGTAGAAACTTATTTTCCCGGATCTTTGTGCCGAATCGGGAATTCTTCTTGTCACCAACTTTAGGGCCTCCGCCAATTTGTTCCTTTCCATTGGAAATCTTTTTCACCTGCCCCTCCTTCCCACCCGACACGGTATCGTGCCTGGGGCCGCCAGCGAAGCTCAGGTGTTGACGCAGACCAAGATCCGCACCGCGAGGAGTTAAACCCTCCGCGAAGACGACCAAAGGCGGACGGGGGCCGCCTTGGCTGAAGTCAGCTTTGTTACTGCCACTTGGTGTGGTTTTGGTGGAGGGATCGAGGGCAGAGATAGCCTCGCGTGCGCCGTCTGACATGCCGCGTCGTTCGAGCGAGGCCCCATCATCGCCTACTATCTGCAGAATAGGCTTGCCGATGATCGACGGGTCGATGTCGGTTCCGATAGTTTCACCGGGTAACACAACTCTTTGCGTCGATGAGATATTCCTTGGGGTAACCTCAGTCGGCGCGGCGAAGGCCAAACCCACGAGGAGACTTATGAGCCGCAGAGATTTCATAGCGTCAGGTGTCTGAACTGAGCGTGGTAAAGGAGTGGTTGGTATCGTAATCTAGTGGAGGAAACGAAGGTATACCCAAAATGAGCTGCAGAATTTGCCGGAAGTGAGGATAGCACGACGCTCGATCCGTCGACTTTATAGAACTCTTCATACATCGGACTCGCCGAAGCCCGTTTAATGAGATTCCTGCAAAACCCTCGTCATCTCTTGGGATTTGGTATCATGACATTGATGCTCTCTGTCCGCTTCGACACTCTCAGGACCGCCAAGGGGGCGCAGCAACACCCAGTTGCTACACACGGACTCCGATTCGACCCGTGCGAGTCGCATAATAGGGCCCCATAATCAAAGCGTGGCGCTATGGCCGCGTCATCTTTGATGACACCTGTTGCTGAATCAGTTAAAATCCATGTTGATTTAACATAGTCGCTGGCCTCTCATTTACCATGGGAAAATATCAGGTCACTTCTTAGGTTGTGTTGCAACTAAGCTTGGCTTGCCTCGGCCCCTTCAATTTCGGCACTTCCGTAAGGATCCGCTACTCTACGGAAGTAGCCATATTCTACACGCCGTGCTGGAATTAGAACATAGCGATGCGACCGTTGTCCACTATGCATTGTTCTTACAGGTCTTATGCCCTTCCCTTTACCCCCAAGGTCGCAGTGCGAGGTGATCATATTTGTGATAAGAACCAAGGTTGTGCATAAAATGGTGTGTGTTTGGGTGACCTTGACGCTAGTTCGACTCCGTAATGGGAGAGCGACCTCCGTCACCTAGAGCCATTGGTTTTGCATTACCACAAATCACGTCCTGGAGTGGTTACAATGCGTTGCACTGAGTAGGTTTTAGGACTTGGGTGGGGCATACACTGTGGGTTACGATATAACCTCTACTGTACTGACCGTGATGCAGAGCAGGTTGCCGTGAAATTGCTCTATGACGCGGGCACCACTCTTAGAACGGCGGTGTGGTGCTTCCAACCGACCTTACGATACGAAGTGCAAGCATGCTCACGACAGGGAGTTCGCAGAAGGATACGAAACTAAGGAGACCTCCATGGAGGGCCCTGTCTCGGATTCTGCCGGCCAGACCGTCTGACCTGGATAGCAGGCCCGCCAGTCTGGCGGCGCTCCTGTTCGTCTGCTGCAATCCGCGGAGATGATTTTGATCGGGCATCTCCGAAAGGCTTGCACTCGGCCCTGCCATCTAAACTCGGTCAAATAGAGGTGATGTCTTGGCGCATGAGACATATCAGCCGTCTTCAGCGTTCGGTCTGTCAATTACGACGAACTGAGAAGTCGATCTGCTGTTTACCGTGAGGTATCGCGTCAAGATCAAGCTTAGAAATGCGGTTCGAACCGTTTACCAATCGAGTAGTTATGTCGCACTGCACGTGTGTGTGGCTAATTAACTGTCAGACAATTGGCTCCACAGGGATCACAGCTGGTATCATGGTAATTGATGAGAATTATCTTGAAGAGCTATCTGTAAGCGCACGGCAGTGCACTGCTCTTTATACACAAAGGAAAGATTTGCTTTGTGGTGCAGAGTCCCTGTAATTGAAGCTGGTGTGCAGATATATGCAACCAGTGTTTGAGCTTTGACCTCGACGAAGTCAAAGCACAACGCATGCAGGCGCTCGACCTTAATACAAGGATTATAGCACTGGCTTCCGCGGACAAATATTCCGAGTGCAGATGTTATGCAACATATAGCTAGCTCTCTGTGCGACAATCTCGCTGTGCAAGCATTCCTGTTCATGGACTCCACAGAAGCCGCACAGGCAGCTTTGGACCAGATCGAGAGCGACGACGAAGTTGCGTTTGGCAGTGACTTTGCGGAGAGGTCAGGGCGCAAAAGGCGCTTGACTGGCGTCGACTAGGGCCGCTTGGCAAAGTCCACA